GGGAAGACCCACCTGATTCGATGTTCAGCCTTAAAGATAACGACAGAAACCCAGTGATACTGGGAAGTCAGAGGTCAACCGATGAACTTCTATTGGTTATCCTTCCCCCCCCCCTTTGTGAAGGCCGATGTCAACTAAGGGGCTAATGATAAATATCATAAAGCCTGCCAATTGATAAAATAATTATTATTATTATTTCAAATGGCAGGCTTTATGATATTTATCTTAAAAAAATTTATTTCAAATGGCAGGCTTTATGATATTTACTTAGCCCTTAATTTTTGACTTCAGCTTCCCCCAAGAGGGGAGGGGTCTTAATCTTTGACTTCAGCTTCCCCCAAGAGGGGGAGGGGCACATTTATAGCAGTTAATTAATAGCAGACATATATAGCAGTTAATTAATAGCAATTCATTAGCTGTCTTTTTGCTTCCCAGTATCTCTGGCTTTCCGTCGTGTCTTTAGGGCTGGACATCGAATCAGGTGGGTCTTCTACCATTTCCTCCTGTAGGTTACATAGGGGGCATGTGGGTTTCATTTCCTCCTGTAGGTTACATAGAGGGCATGTGGGTTGATCTCCCGTTGTCTTTAGAGCTGGACACCGAATCAGGTGGGTCATCACCATTTCCTCCGCTAGACACCGAATCAGGTGGGTCTTCTCCATTTCCTCCTTAGGTTACATAGAGGGCATGTGGGTTGAGTGTATACTCCCAATCTGTGAAGGTGTTTTGCCAAGCAATCGTGTCCGGTACGTAGTCTTGATAAAATAATAATAATGACTTTTTACAAGCAAATATATTAGAGGACGGTGAGCTGAGGGCTGAAAATGATATAGCTTAGCTCAGTACATAAATAATTTTCAAAGTTACTTTCTATGAGGGAGTGTCACCTTAAAAGCCAGAAATAATATAAAAAGAAGAGAAAATTCTACTTGTAAGTCTCAAATCTTACATCTCAAATTATTCAAACTATTAGTTCAAATAAACATCAACTTCGGTAATGGTTACATTTAGGTTTTAACTTAGTTTGGCTAATTGGTTGAAATAAAAATGTATGCATAGTTGCATAATTGTTTATGTCAGAATGCGAAATGCGGGCATATCTAGGAGATATTAAAAGATTGAAGAATTCCGCACAGTAAAGTTATTCATTAAGAACAAATTAGATTCTGATCAATTTTGCGAAATGTATCAAGTTTGGATATGACCTTCACACTACAATTTTTAAACGCATTAGAGTGAATGAAGAGGAGGTTGCGCAAGCCATAATTCCAAAATGCTTCGGGAGCATCACTATGGCGATGACTCAGCCCTTAAATTTTAGTGAATGAATTCAGGCGCACTATCTCAAGCCCACAGCTTTGTCTCTTGACAATTTTAGGCTCTTTGACTGCTATTGTTCCGCGTAAAAGTGTCTTTCGCCCCAATACAGGCCAACATTTGCATAGTTAGTTACATTCCTCACACCTTATCCCCGAACTTTCTCTCTACTCTCAAAAAGATCGTCTAAGAATCGTCTTTTATTTTCCATTTATTGTGTGAGAATCATAGAAATGTGATAGTTGAAGTGAACTCCACAGTTTCTGAGATAATGTGGGATGCTTTACTATTATCCTTCTTTGTCCCGTTAGCCATAAGAGTATATATTTGTGTATGGCCGAGCATTTCATCAAAACCCAATACTTATGCCTTATGCAATTCCACTGACATTCAACTCATTGACCATTAAAACCAAAGTTTGTTAACAGTAACTACTTTTACTGTAAGCAAACTTCCAAAATATATGCTCAATCATTCATCTAAAGTTCTATGGCCTTGAAATGTCTGGTTTGCAATATAAGATTTTACGACAAGCAGTAAGCTATGCATTTTTTTTAATTTTCTTATTCTATGTCAGAAATCTTCGCATAGAATTACAGTGAAATTAAAGTAAAATTTGAAGTGGAGACTAAAATGTTTGAGACAAGCTTATGCCAATTTTTGAGTATTTAAAATTGCACTTATTTCTGTAAATTACTTTTAAAAAAACCATTTCTTTTCTCTTGAATGGAATTATTAAAGTGAATCAATACAAAGAACAGCAACAGTGAATCTGTTTTTTAATAATGCCAAAGAATTAATTAATTAATTAATAATTAATGTGCAAAAAACGATTCTTTTCATTGTCAAATTATTTCAGTATGTGATCCAGTTTTCTGCAATCCTAGTATACTTTGTAATGGCGTGCTTGTTAAAATATCATTTATAGTTATTTTTTGATTTCATTACCAATAAATATTTATACTAAATCTCAGTTTCGTTTTAATTTTATAATAAGAGAGAGTTCCAATTGGTATGAACGGCCATTCATATTACAATGAAAACTTTTCATCCTTTAAAAAGACGATGCTTTTTGAAGTTAACTTTTGAGTTTTTGCATAGCGGCAATGCAATTAATACTAAAAATACAATAATTTTATGGAATTAAATCAAGAAATCCCTTTCTTTAGTAGAATTTCCAAATGAACACCTTAATCATGGTTCAGCTAAGATTTAGTCGGCAGCGTAATGAATTGGCTGTGTGCTTAAATAGGGTTTATGAGTTTGCACTTTACTAGTTGACGCGCGTCTATTGAATAATAACCATGATTAGTTTGTTAAAGAAGTAATAGAGCACATAACAGTGGAAATGCTAACAGAAGTGAATGAAAGCTGTAGGGATCAAATAAGAAAGTTCCCACTGGGCGCAGGAATGCGGTAGGTCGAGGTAGCTAGCATTGTCTATTCAATTTAAACCTCTCACGATTTAAGGTACTGAATCTCAAACCGAAAAAGACGAATTTAAATTAGTAGATTAAAAACTTCGGACTTGTTTCCCTTCGAAATTGTTTAGAAATAAATTCCAATGCTAAAGACTAAATGATTCTTCAATACACGTTAGTTAAGTTAATTTCATTATACCAAAGTATTTACAGAAATATCGTTAAAGCATATACTAAAAATTTAGCTAAGAAAGCAATTTAAATAATTCCACTATAATTGGTCTTCATCGGCATCTGGTTAAGAAATGGCTGTTTATAATCATAGCAAGATGACTTTAAAGTTAAAAGAAATTTAACCACATTGCTTTAAAAAATTGAATCTTTCTTGTTTATGCAGATCTCAATAATTGAAGCTCGTAACACATAATTCCAAAAATCAAGACTATATAAAGCTATTTTAAAGTTATTTCAAACTTCTCTATTATTTTAACTGAACCGCCTTTAACAAAAAAGTAGTATTCTTACAACTATCACAATATTCTCTAATCCCATTTATGTTTCATGGCTTTTTGGTGGTAATTATTATTTTATCAAAACTGCTAATAACCACTGACAAGTTTGCCCTTTGCTTCAATATAACCTGATATGAACGTGTTTTAATCCAAAAGAATAGTTATTATTAGTATAAGCAGTAGTCGTAATCTTGCTTTTGTTTAATTTATTTATTTCGATCTGGGGAAGTAACTGACGCCGAATAAAAGTTAAATCAAGAAGTAATAAACGAGCGGGATCAAAGAAAAGTAGAGGCAGAATCAAGGAAGCTTACCTTATTGAATCTTATGACACAAGTTTTGCGAGGTTTTCTAAGAGGTCATTTCCCGTTGGAAAATTCGCCTTTATTTCAGCAAATGCCAGACCCCGATATTCACAGCTTACTTTTGCGATATTATTTACGTACGCAGGATGGAATCTACCCAGTTAATTAATTTATTTCAGTGATTGCGCAAGTAGATGTACATTTAATGTGTACAAATTAGTATAGCAGAGATGAGAGGGAATCTTTAATTAGCAGAGTACTGTATAGTTTTGAATCAAATTCAACTAGTACGCCAACTAGTTGCATATATTTTCAATCCCCCCAATTTGATTAAAACACAGGATATGATCTAATATAACATTTTATTGGATAGATTTCATAATTTGGTGTTACTAATTGCTGCCGAAGTCTTCTAAAATAAAATAAAAGAGTAATGAGTAAATTTTGTTTTAAATTTAAATAATATAGATGTGATTCGATAAATATTTACGTTAATTACCACTAAATTATTTATTTTTATGAATCTAAAATTTGATTTTAAGTTTAAAAGTCATTTTACGAATAAATTAAAACATGTCTTAGGAATTTACCGGAAATCTAACAGCAACATCCACAGCAGTTGGTTCTTCCACAATTGTAGAGACGTGGTCCACAACCGACATGAATACCACATCCACAGCCGCAGGTTGGGCGACAACAACATCTATGTAGAACGTAATAAGTATCATAAATCAGCAGAATGATGACATCTTTGCCATTAGGGAATTTGTGAACAGAGAACTTTCATTTGAGCTGGCATGAAATTTTAGTAAAACTTAAGCATACTTTATTTAACATTAGCTCATCAGCAAACAAACACAACAAAACTTATAATGAATTGGTTAATTGTGATTTAGAAAAATGGACTTAAAATAATGTTGAGAGTTATTTAGATCCTAAAGTGTCTTTCGAGGTGTGACGTCGTTTCTGACATTATTACCGAAATACATTTTAGATTACAAAATTTTCACAATCATATCCGGTAAATGTTTCAATCTGTTGATTGTAAACATATATGGTAATAGTAGGATTTTAAAACAAATTTCATATTTGTAGTAAATGACAGACAGAGTTTGTAAATAACGACCTTAGATAGATAATGAAAAAAAAGACAAATCTTGGCACCATTTTGTCAACTCAAAGGAGGTTTTTTAAAAAAGTCAATTTGAAACGGCCTTACCCGCAGCCACCACCACAGCCACCGCAGCCACCACAACCTCCACAGCAGCCACCACAGCCACCAAATTGTCCACAACCGCATCCACAACCGCCCATGCCGTAGCCACCGCCACAGCATCCGCTATGACCGCAAAAACCAGAAGGACTGCAACCACAACAACCGCTAAAAATGAAAGAATTAGTAATTAAGTCAAATAAATTTAAATTTTAAATTGAAAAAGTTTTCAACAAGGAATATCTAGAGCCTGCGTGCGACTTAAGTATCCATAATCCAGAAAGTAAGATTTGAGGCTCGGTTGAACCTTTGAAGAAAATTTAAAAGGAGTCTGATTTAGTCAACTCACTTCATTTTGATGGAGTTTGAAAGTGTTTTTTTTACGATGAAAGGCTGGAAATCGCAAGCTTAAATACTCTTTTAACTTCGCAAATTACGTCAAATGTTAGACAAATCAAGCGCTGTTAGCCTTGTCCTTACGACTTATCGTTGAGTCCCGATTTCTTTCGCAGTTTAAAGGAAATCAAATTGTCCTTACTAGTACTTCGAGCTTTCACGTTTGTGAGAATCGGAAAAATGTCACAATGTGTGAGGTCACGTCGAAATGCCTCGCTTAAAGGACTTCCGATAAGTGAGAAAAGACGAAAATTACAAACAAATAGAACATTCTTTTTTCCAAATGTTTGAGAAATAATGAAAAGGGATTGTCATTAGATTTTATTTTGATGAATATCACTTAAATATTGATTTTGCGAACCAGCCTTTTTCCCAAATCAAAAGTCTATATTCCTCTATCCTAATCTAGAGTCATTCATGTCCCTAAAAATTGACCGAATTTGTTTATTTTTCATTTTCCAGGCTGTTTCTGAAGTAAAATATGATTTTTGGAAGCAGTAGATTGAGTGGTATTCACAATTTCTAACGAATGTCCATTTAACTCTATTAATAATAATATTAATCGATAAAATATCCATTTTAACAAGTAAATAATAAAAGTTGATGTTAAATTGAAAAAGAAATGAGTACACATTCACTTACTCTTTGGGTGATTTGAACAAATTGATAAATGCCATAGAAACATGTAATATAGTTGCAAGTCCCCCATGACACGGAATTTCGGTGGATATTCGTGGTCAATATTAGTTGGCATTAACTCTCAAGGCTCTCTTATTTCATCTATCAGAAATTATGGAAGTTCAGGGCAGAACTGACTCATAAACTCCAAACCCAACATGGCTTAGGTAACTAAAATTGACTGAATTTCAAACGAGAAGTGACGTTTAAGTAAGAAAATTTGCAAGAAACGTCATCATGTGATAAATTATCATTTTTAATTAATGTATATTAAAGATGGCTTCAAAGTCAGGGCAAAATTATCTAACTTATTTGAAATTTATTGGATTCATCTTTATTCTGCCCAAAATATGTTAAAACATTTGTTTTGCAGCGAATTGAATTTTACCAGATCTGCCAGTTAATGACAGGCAAATAGTGAAATATTTAAGTACCAATTATTTCCGTGCTTCAAATTAGGTGTCTGTCAAAAACTAGACGACAAGTGAAATGTCGTTTCTACTCCCCTCCCCTCCTCCAAAGGAAAATTCCGGAACCTTAATTTTATAATTCCTACTTTGATATTTTCAATAAACGTTACTTCAAGAAACAAAATTTGAAAATTGCAACGGTAATATAGTAGATCCTAACGATACTTCATGAAAAATACTTATATATATATATAGTGATGTTGGAAAAATTTGATTGATTTTGTGTAAATTGGCATTTTTGAAGGTTAAGAAAGAAAATAAGAAATTAAAACCGATTTTTTGCCCCTTTTATCTACAATAAATTGTGCTCTAGAAACTTTCCTCTTCAATTTGTTTAAGGTAGGTTTCTTTCAATTACAGATTTCAAATATTCTGAGGGTGTACAGATCTCCTTATATTCTATTACGAGTAGATATTTTCAAAAATCAATAAATTTTGTTCACCTATGAATGTCACATCCATTACTTAGTTTAGAATATATTAGTAGCGTAGAATAACAACGAGTATAATAAATGAAAGTAAATAGATGCAATCCTAATTTACTACGTCATAATATTTATATCAAATGGTAAGCGTTTTGCTAGTCATCATTATCCTTTTAGAGGACTTTGTGCTTCACAGGGATGAGGAACATCAAAGGTACAAAAAGTCGAGAGGGGGTAACAGAAGAGTGTTTCATGGATGTAAAAAGATAGTCCAATACAAAGGCAGAGAAAACGTAAGATGAGTACTATGGAAGTGGTCGAATATGGCATACAGTGGGGTTATGGTTGTTTGAAGTCAGAAGTCAGCTGTTAGTTTATAGGCTTTTTGCACTGGGGGGAGGGGGTAGTCTATCGCACACCCCTCGTCATAATACAATTACGTGTGATTTCTTTCTCTACTTCAACTTACAAAGGAAACAACGTTATGTCGATACATTTGATCAAAAAAGGCTGATAACATCTCTTTGAGCTCTAGACATTTCTCTTATAACTGGAAAATACGACACTTTCAACTATTCAGACAAGAAATATTGAAATTTAGATAAGTTAATCTGATTAAAAAATATATTGTTAAAAGAGCATCAAAGAGTCAGAAAAAAGAATCCGTGATGAACCTTTTCATAAACAGTTAAAGGCATATTTGAATAAGTTTTAAATTAGATTTTATTTCTTTTTGATTTCTCATTTTTGTAAATAGATGATGCCGTTCAATTGTCAAAAGTTCTCTTCAAGATCGGACTAATTCAATTTTTAATTTAATTGAATGTGCTGAATAACGCCGATATATTTACTAATTGACAAGAATAGGCCCATTACAAAATACATATCTACGTTTGGGCAAGATTATATTAATTATAAAAGTATTTGAAATAGAAAATTTCTATGGCGAATACGAATCTCTCTGTTTTGAATATATGCTTTTAAGGCATTTAACCAACCAGCAAGTTAAGTAAATCTACAAATCGTCAAGGTGTGATATATTAAAAAATACTGTCATGCGTGTTCGACGTGTAAACGTACGACCACTACCAGAGTTTAGTTTGAGTAAGCCTTCTCTGTTACGCTACGTTGATGGAGAAAAAATAAAGTGAAAAGTGGTGGAGGTGGGATTTATAAAGTGTGAGTTTTGAAAAGTGAAAATACGAAAACGTGACTCGATTAAGGTTCTCTTTTCAAGCCACTTCCTTATTCAGGAACTTAAACCATTTCAGTTCCAATTTCGCAACGACAAACCACATAATATCTATATTTCTGCCTGATGAAATTTCAATCAACGCTGATTTAATGCTCAATAAATTTTATGTGGGGCGGAGCAAACGCATTTTAGATGATTTAAGTCCTTTTAATAGAGCAAAAGCTTTGGTTTTGCTGCAAGCATTCACAGGTGGTCGTCAGCCGAGCGTTTCATTGTTTTTTTCCCAAGATTCCCTAGGTGTGAGACCATACATCATTCTGGAGTGCTAACAACTTTGCCGAGAATCATAAACTCCAAGGGCAAATAAAACTTAAAATTGAAACGAGAAAAAGCTCAAATCATTTGCACTTGTCAAATATCGATAGCAAGGGATTTTCTTTCATTAAGTCGCAAATTAATCGGTTATTTTGCTAATTAAAACGGTGTTTAATAAGGTTTAACCACTGAAATGATGCGCATGTGCAAATTGCGTTTAGTTAAATCTTAAATAAAAAAATTTAATTGCATAATTACGTAGAACAAAATCGTGCGCATTCGACCTTTACTTTACCCTAAATTGCGATCATTTTCATTTCGACGATCAAAGGATCACTGATCTCAAGGTCACAGGAATTTCAGACATAATGAACTTTTGAATCAGAGTGTCCCTTATTAAATTTACCTAATGAAATAATTGAAATTAATCCAATTTGCTACTTTCCCATTGAAGAAATAAATACATGGCAAATTATATTGCTACAATAAATCTCAAAGTATATTTGACATCTGGTTTCACTTTCATATAACACTAACTAAGACTCCATGAAGAAGTATCTATTTCAAACCACTTAACTTAATCTCGAGGAATTGGACGTGGGACAAATTATTTACAGATGCGTAGGCTGGTATACCACTGGTAGTCTTGAATTTATATAACTGAAAGTAGAAATAACTTTATCGATAAATATTTGCACGAATTTTTCGAGAACGACAAAAAATATTGTCACAGATTAAGGAAAGAAGCCAATGTAAATTTAATCGACATCGAGAGTAAAATGGAATTTCAAGTTCTTTTATAAATCAATAAAACTGAGGGTTAGAAAAAGTGATTGACCTGAGAGGAATAAAACAAATACCAGTCTTAAATAAAATATCATCTTAGATACTATTTACGTCACAAAAGTTGGATATAAAATAGAATTGAAAATAACGAGACTGATCTTCAGAGCACTAAAAATCTTGTTCAAAATCCGAGAACATTCATGACAAAAATTAGCTGCAACCAAGTGGGGAATCTCAACCTCATAATATTGGAGTAAGAGTTGTTCAATTTAGCGGATCGAATCCAAAATTGATTAATGCCAAGCACTTTGAAATTTCCTCCAGTTCTTCATAAGCATTCCCCTATCGGATTAAGTTAGTGATTAAATATTATGAATGGACATATTAGAGGCAACTCTAACTAGTTTTTGCAAGCAATTAGCAAATTTGCATAATAATAAATATTTAGTGAATGAGTTAAATGATAATTAATTTTTACCAAATAATGTAAGTCGGAGAATTATCGTTTAGAATGATAAAATATAGCTACTAGAAGTTAAAATTTGTATAAGAATAAGCTTGGAATGGCCTGTCTCTAAATTATTTTCCATTCAATTTATGGGCTTGGCTGATGCCAGCCAAAGAGTGGGCATTGAGGTTCGATTAAAAGTCTCTGTTAATGCTAGCAGTCTAACAAATAAAATTGGTGAGTGGTAATTAAAACGTATTTAATTTTTGTGAATTTTTAGCTGAAATAGTATACTTTTCTGCCTAAGCGCAGCTAAGTTTAATTGTAATTCGAATATAAATTAACTTCTTTTTATATCCCATTGTCTCTTTTATTTTGCCTATGATATGTAGTGGATTGCTAACTTAGTAAAGCCTGACTGACTCAGAAATCTCTATGGCAGATTCCCCTACATCTAGCTAGTCTCCCAGAACCATGCTTTAATAATTCTCAGTTTTCTTATTCTCAGTCGGATCTGACAACAATGCTGAAAATGACATCTTTCAAGGGTTGGAAGTTGTTATTGAATTTCTAATGGTCTTTATACCCTTCAACTTTAACCATTTCAAAAGACCGGTGTACTAATAGTACGAAACTAAATATATCCATATAAAGTTAACGTTCTACAGTCAACTAGATTTTCCAAGATGATTCCGCCACCATCTCGGTTTCCTTCCAGTTTTATGACAATTACAGTTAGCAAAATTTTAAAAGTGAAAAGCTAGCATATTATCCAGGTAATTAACTTGCGCTAAACTAACAATAATAATAAAACAAACCACTGGTTTAATTTATTACAATAGTGATAAATTTAACTCGATAGATGGGAAGCAAAGCATTTGCTAAAGGTAAAACATTTAATATAATTCAAGGAACAAATTATTTTCATTGTGTGCGCAAAGCAATAAAATCTGATCAATTATTCCAAAATTTTCTCTCTTTTATTATTACTTTTCAAGCGAAAAGAATTGATTTTGAATTTGGAGCTTGAATACCATTTACGACAGTTAAGTTAATTCCACTTTAAACAACAGAACAGGTGATATTGAATATAAATTAATTTTTGCCTAATTTATATTCTATTCACAAAATCATTACATTCATATCAATGGCGTTCTTTCCAACAATTTAAATAGGTCACCATAGTTTGCAAATTGATACTAATTGAAGTTAAAATTTGTTGCAGCAAAAGTGTGGATTAAAGGTGGTATTAACTTGTAAGCGCCATTTCGTGGACAATTGTGCATTTGAACCCTCCTGTAGCATTACATGGCAGTATTTGTTAAAGTTTAACGAAGTCGATGCAATTTCTACATTTTTATAACTTACTGGAGGTAGTTTTGCCACATTTTTAGCTTTGAGAGTGTATTAGGCTCGACATATTTTGAATTTTTCTCTGAGAGTAAATTACGTATGATAATGGGTAAGTAACATTATTGGCACAAAGCTCCACTAATACAAGTTGAAGTAATATATCAAAAA